CTCAGTTTGACCTTTTGTTTCCTTGACAAACCTGCAGTAAAGGACATAGCCTTGCTGGATCCACTCCCAGTTATGTTTGGTGAATGAAACCCAACCTGATATCTACATAGAATGGACTGGACAGAAATCTGTCCAAGGGTATGTCTAAGGCTCCGTTCACACCTATGCAGTTTGCTTTTTTTGTCTGTTTTTCAGTGCTTTTCGCAGTTCGTTTTCCATTTTCTACACACGTTTTTACCGTGTTTTGTTCAGCTTATTTTTTTTTTTTTTTAAAAGCAACATTTTTTTTTTTCTGGGCAGAATAAAAATGCAAAATGCAGCAAAAACACACAAATATGCATTTCAGCAGATTCTACATTGAACTCTATTGTAGCAAAAAACGCTGCTTGCTTTTTAAAAAAGTCTCTGACCCTTTCCAAAAACACAGCAGCTCAAAAAAGCATAGATGTGAACAAGTTCCATAGGAAACCATGTTAAATGGACTGTAGTGCGTTTCTGCAAAAAGCACTAAAATGCACTGGTGTGAACGCTCTGTGAACATAAACACACACACACTAGTGCAAAACTTGGAGCATATGTAACCACTGGCTGCGACCAGCTCAGCTGCTAAAAGCTTCCATGAGGGGCAACTAAATAAATAAAAAGAAATAAAACCAAAGCAATGACTTTACTACGTTATTGCACATATAAAAGAAACATGTTTATATGTGAAGTGTCCATGATTGACCACTGTTCTGAAAATGCTAGTTCTCTGGCAGTAATGCTGATTGTTTTCTTTCAGCACATTGAGTCACATACCTAGCAAGTATGTAAATAAGGCTTTCTGACTTGATCATCATACTGAGCCAGTGATGCAGAAAATACTGAAGCAACTGGATTAGTATGATGGACTAGCATTTAGCTTTTTAAGGAGGAGGTCAGCACTGGCAGCTACTGAAATATTCCATGAATCTCTGTGCAAACAGGTAAATACAGATAAAACAAATATGAGAGCGGTTTTACCTGCTAAAGGATTTATTTTTAATTTATTTATGCCCATTCAGTCCTGACATTTACATGGATCTGACACACTGCTCTCTGGCAGGGCACTTGACCTTTCTCTGCTGCAGTTTCACTTTCACTTACAATTATCCTGCCTACCCTAATCCCGTGACAGTGAAAGGGACAGTAGGACAAAAAGTAGCTTATTTTTCTGCTTTCTCCTATCAGCATGTTCCTGAAGTGCAACACATCTGATTGGCTCATTGTGTTGCTTCTCCTTCCCCCTGAGCTCTGCTGTACAATTGACTGCAAGAGATTTTGTTGCTCATAAAATGCAGTAAACATGCAATTAAGACAATTTTTTTTTTTTCAACCAGTGTTTGTAAAGGGGCAGCTGCATATAAAATGATGTCAAAGCAATTTTCTGGTGACTGATAGGTCAAATATGATGTAAAATGAGTAATCTTCCTATCTGGCATACTCTTGCTTATTTCTGCTTGAACTGCTGTAACAGACTGTAAGATGGGCAGTACAGTGGCTATGCAGTTAGCATTTCTGCCTTGCAGCATTGGGGTGCTCTGTTTGAATTCTGGCCAGGACACCATCTGCGTGGCCTTTTCATGCTCTCCTCATGCTTGTGTGGGTCTTTCATAGGTACTCCAGTTTTCCTCCCACAGTCCACAGACATATTAGTAGGTTAACTGGCCTATGTCTATTTGAGTATGATGTGTGTACGTATGAACGTGAGTTAGGGACCTTAGATTGTAAGCTCCTTGAGGACAGGGACTTGATGTGAATGTCCAATATGTAAAGCATAGCATACATTGTATGTGCTATATAAATACCTGTAATAAGAACATAACATTGATACATTGATGTGAAATTAAGGTACTTATGTTTCCTTATTAAAAAAAAGTAATGTATGAATGAATACAGTATAATTCTTATGTGTCAGTGCACTAGAGCTGTTTCCCCAACAATCACAGCAGCTGGAAATCCTCTGCCCCCTGGCAGGTAGACCATCCAAATGTATTAAACCATTGCTTAAATACTCATGTGTCTCTCTCTTGAATGAATTGAGAGACACGTGACTATTTAAGTGCTGGTTTAATTCATTTGTATGAATGAATACAGAGCTACATTCTTTAGTGGCCTTTACATATGCCTGAAGTTCACCTTTAAGAGACTCGGCTGAATATACCCTTTCAACCTCAGGGTTTGGGGAGCACCTGGGAGGAATCTGGAAGACATGCTATTTGCCTCCCTTGCGTGCATAAAAAAAAAAATCATTTTTTTGGGTAAATTGAACAGAATAGTTGTGTTTCAGAAAATACAGAAAAAACTAGTTATAAATAATGAGACTTGATGGCTGCCAAACTGAATAGAACACATAGTCAATGCTTAAAAGATACTTTATTACAATATGTATCAATCATTTAAAACATCATGACATAAGATATATTTACTGTATTGGGGATGTGGTGCCCAAGTGACTTCTCATCGACCTATACATATCAAATTTCAGAAAATAATAAAGCATATATAAAACCGGTAGAAACATCTTAGTTTTCATTCAGCTTTAACTTTATAAACTGTGAGGGTAAGAAATAATACTATATCTAGACCTACTTTATACTAGGCCGCCCACAAAAGGGGATACTTGGTAAGTACTGGCTTTTATACAGTGCTACATACTAAATAAGGTTGGGAACACTGACTTACGTAACCAGTACCCCCCAAATTGCTTCTAGCTAGGGCAACCAAAAGCATGCCGTACCCACAAACATAGGCAGATCATCACTTGATTGGCCTGGCTGGATATTCAATGATGATCAGTATGGTTTTCTTCCAAGATAATCCATCAGTGTCCACTTTTGGGCCCCCCATTGACCATTAGCCCAAACAATCCAAGCAGACAGCTTTTTTGTAACAAAGCTCCTGTTCTCCTAACATCTATTCTATGGGATTGGTTAGCATAGCTAACAGGGCACAAAACAGTATGAAGATCAGTTCTGTCAAATTCTATGGAAATGGACAGCTATTTCAAAAGACAGCATAACTAAAAGCAAGAAATATGCGGCTAAAAAAAGAAAATGAGTGATAAATTGTAAAATGTGAATTAAAAGCTGTTAATGCATTACAAAATGTAATTTACTGAGCTATGTAAACATAGTTAAAGAGAAAATGGCAGCTGCTCAGTCAGTTTAAAACTAGCAAAGGAGGTGCACAAAGTGAGGGGGGATTTACGAAGTACAAAATAAAAAATCTTAAGGACTCCAGTGAAAAAACTGCCTTACCAGTGAACACAACCTAATTTCTAATTTACAATAAAAACAGAGGTCTCAGTTGCAGCCATTTAATACGCACACACATTAAAGTACTGCCTTACATGACAACAATGCACCTCTCACAAGCAGTTATATCAGTATGTTGTGTATTGGTGTCAACAGCTCAGAATATGAACATTTTGCCTTCTGCTTTTGAGAAAAAGATGTGAAACTTTAGGCCACTTTCCACAATTTATATATTCTTAGTTTTAGGCTCAGTTAACACTGCTGTGACCTCAAAGTCATGCAACTTGCTTGCAACCTTTGTGATTTAATATGGCAGTTTAGGCACTTAAGCCGCACCAAAGTCGCAGGAAAGCAGTGCAGGAAGCTTTTATGTCGCTGCAACTTGAGTCGTATTGTTTAAGATGGCACCTATTGAAATGAATGTGTTTTGACTCGTCATGCGACTATATGTTGCAAGTCGCATGATAGGTTGCAGAGCGTGAACTGGGGCTTAAAGTAGGAAGCCTAATATTTACAGAGCTCAATGATTGAACAGCATCAGCTGAAAATATAAAACAGTTTAAAATTTTTAACAAAAGGATAACTAAATGATCTCAAAATTAATTATAGTTTCCCTACGTTCCCCTTAACCTACTCACCCCCAACCATCTGCAATGCTCTGTTCTTACTTTATGGGTTTCAATAGTGAAAAATCATGATGCACCACATGAAGGAATCGGTATTAGGTAAGCCTACTCTTTATTTGTTGCTTTATTTTTCATAGTGTTGATGCTTTCTCAATAGAAAGCAGCGAGGGATCTAATGTGGTATAGAGCGTCCACATACACTTTCTAATGCATGCATCTGTGACCTCAGTTTCCATTGCAAACCAGATATAATTAATATTTTTACCTGCAAGCTAGTAGGGCTGTGTGCTTGGGAAGTGTTTAGTTCTCTATAACTATAATCAATTTCTTCCCTTCAGGAAAATGTCTTGAGGAAATTGCACCTCTTCAGTAGCTTGTGTTAAAGTGGGCCTTTATTGCTTGTCTAATTTGACTAAAGCAGGCTGAGTTTATTATTACAGTCTGATTGTACAATTTGTATACAATCTCCTTTACATCACTAAATCATAGGAGAGTAAAAAACCCTACATAAACAATCAATTCCGATTATATCTGGTCCAGAAACACTATATTGTTGGTAAATTTAAAGGAGAATGTAGCATGTGGCCAGCTTAACACAGTTGAGCACTAAAACTACTCTAAATATAAATGGAATGCCAAAGCTTCTCAGTGATGATATCCCTACATTAGGTTCCCAGTGCTGCACAGTTGACAAGGAGATTTCATCCTCCCTGTTGCATTTTAATTTAAAGCTCAAATCCAGGCCCTGCCTACCAACAGCACATTGCTCCTCCTCCCCCACTGGGCATCCCACATGTACGAGATGGTATCAGAAAGTTTCGATACTAGTTTTGTAACATGCCAGCAGATGGCACCACAAGGCTGCATGCACAGTCACAGGAAGCACCGACCTTCATAAGTCAGTGAAAAAAAAGACATCTTCCTATGTACGTCAGGAGCTGTGTAACTGGTGCTATTCTCACCACGTGCATTACCACGTCTGCTATTTCATCATGTACAGCAAGTTTGAACAAAGAGCAAATGTGAAATTCTGCATGAAACCCAAGTTTCGTCACCAGTAATGATCCTTGGCATGAAGGACAGGTCATCCACAGCATGTTTAGAGTTCTTGGCAGACTTTGATGTGGTGTTCCTTCTGCTCCTGGGTCAGAAGCCTGGGAATGAACTTGACAGGAACATGGCGCATGTTCAAACCACATGTGAGGATTGCCTGGACTGTTCTGTATGACACAACAACAATGGCAGCAATGTTGTGTATTGTTCTCCAACGATCATCATGCACAAGTTGCTGAATGGTTTCAACATTTTTGGGGGTTGAGCTCGTTGAAGGTCTTCCTGATCTCTCATCGTCTTCCAGTCTTCTTCCACTCTTGAAGTGCATGTGCCACTCAGAACACCTTGAACGACTTATTGCAGCATCGCCATAAACTTGCTGGGTGATGTAAAATGTAGCAGACGTACCCAGTTTTACACAGAATTTCATGTTTGCTCTTTGTTCTAACTTGCTGTCCATGATAAAATAGCAGACATGGTAACGCATGTGGTCAGAATAGCTCCAGTTGCACAGCTCCCGATGTGCACAGGACGATGTCTTTTGACACACAGACTTATGAAGGTCAGTGCTCCCTGTGACTGTGCATGGGGCCTTGTGCTGCCATCTGTTACAAAACTGTGTTTTGTAACAGATGTGTTACAAAACTAGTCTCAAAACTTTTTGACACCACCTCGTATGTTTTTCTTTTTTTTTACTTTCCAGATGTCTTTATGTGGATGATGTGATGTGTGGGATCCTGTCTTGTCCCTGGGAAGTCCTGGATGTTTATGATTAAGCACAAAATCATGTGAAACGCGTTAACAGGTCCTGTATTCATGTCCTGGTGTTTTGTGTGTCCTATGGATCAATAAATACACACTATATTGATCAATCCTCCAATGTACGGCTGACCCTTCTTCCTATTATTATTATACAGGATTTATGAAGCGCCAACAGTTTGCTCAGCGCTTTACAATATAAAGGGAGACAATACAGCCAATCCAGGATGATGCAGACAACACTATTGATGGTAGCAACCCTCTCTGGATCTTTACACTATGAGTGCAGGGTGGCTTGGTGATGCCCCCTCAGTGGCTGTGCTTATGATGCACTGCGACCACAGGATACCCTCAGTCTTTCAGGTTGAATGGCATTATTCAAACCAAAAGATTCAGGACAACTTGTGAATGAAAAAAGTACTGTGGAGGGGAAAGCTCTGGATTGAAGATGAGTATTGCAGTAAACATTGATTTTTTTTTTTTTTTTTCTCTAAATCAGCAAGGGAACAATATAAAAAGATTTAGAGTTAATAGAGTTATATTACAAATGGAGAAATGGGGACAAAACTTGCATCATTAATGCTGCAGGCTCCAAAATCTATAATACTGTCACGTGACCCATAATATTTAACCTTTAACTGAGATATCAGTATCTGTTCAAATGTACACAAATGGAAGAAGTTTGTTAAAGACAAAGCCAGCTATAAATTTTTCTGGAACAAATAAACTAAAGTAAGAAAACTAAAGACACTAAAAAATGCAAGTGTTTCTACTAGGCAACCATGGCTCTGCCCACAAGATGTCTACCATTGGTACCACATGACTGACACACTTTAAGCAATGAAGATGGTGAGTTGTATATACAGGGCAGAGCTGGGAAGCCATAGCACTACTGGGCAATGGAACATACTTTCTATAATGCAGCTAATTAAAACTCTATTTAATAAAAATAACATTAATGTGAAATACTAAACAAATCAATCCATTTTGAATTTTGCTTAGCGTTTTCAACATTATAAAAAGTTAGAATCCATAAAAATATCTGACAAAAGGCACGCTATGAATAAATTATGAAAATCTTCAGTGCCTGTACCCAAGTATAGCAAAAAAAAATCATGTTGGAATATTTCTTTACATAATATGCATTTTAGGTGGGTGTGAAAAGAAAACAAAGCACTAAAAAAATGAAAAATTGAAATATTTAAATTGGAAGAAAGGCATCTGCATGTAAAAATAATTATCTAACTATATTTTTTTTCACAGTGTTTGTGATCAACATATTGTACTTTTATCTGTGACAATATTAAAAATAGCAGATTAAATTGAAACTATTCACAGCTTTTAAAAATTTGCTAGGACACCCGTGGCTTCCAAAATGGTTAAATGAACTATGAATTTCTTTCTATGTCTTCAAACTGGACCAGTTAGAACATAAAACAATTTACCATTTCATGCAAGCAGAGACCGCTATTACATTAAAACATTTGTTCCCCAATCATTCTACAGTTACCATCTGTGCTTAAAAAATTATCCAACATTAGCATACTTCTTTTAAAATAGAGCTTTTTAAATGTAAAAAAACTGTGTAACCATGTCACTAAGGTTCAATATTTGACCTGGGCTATTGTAAAATGTTTACAGAGCTGTAGAGCACAGAGTACAGATGATGAGACAACAATACTGAACAATAATAAGTCCTATCTCGTGTAAAGATTGGTTTGGATGTTGGCTAGCAGAAAGCCCTAAGTGTCTTTTCTGATCTAATGGCCAACTAAACTCTTACTATAAATCAGCTAAATACATTCTAAGTTAATAAAAAAGGTGTGGAAAGGCTTAAAACTCATTTCATTAGAAAGCATCCACAGCCTGTGTAGAAAGACCTGTCCCCTGCTAGCATGTAGCAGAGAAGGACCTATGGTCACTGTGTGGAAGTAGTGGTCTCTCAGCAGAAGTCTGGGTCACTATGTGGAAGTAGTGGTCTCTCAGCAGAAGTCTGGGTCACTGTGTGGAAGTAGTGGTCTCTCAGCAGAAGTCTGGGTCACTGTGTGGAAGTAGTGGTCTCTCAGCAGAAGTCTGGGTCACTGTGTGGAAGTAGTGGTCTCTCAGCAGAAGTCTGGGTCACTGTGTGGAAGTAGTGGTCTCTCAGCAGACGTCTGGATCACTGTGTGGAAGTAGTGGTCTCTCAGCAGAAGTCTGGGTCACTGTGTGGAAGTAGTGGTCTCTCAGCAGAAGTCTGGGTCACTGTGTGGAAGTAGTGGTCTCTCAGCAGAAGTCTGGGTCACTGTGTGAAAGTAGTGGTCTCTCAGCAGAAGTCTGGGTCACTGTGTGGAAGTAGTGGTCTCTCAGCAGACGTCTGGATCACTGTGTGGAAGTAGTGGTCTCTCAGCAGAAGTCTGGGTCACTGTGTGGAAGTAGTGGTCTCGCAGCAGAAGTCTGGGTCACTGTGTGGAAGTAGTGGTCTCTCAGCAGAAGTCTGGGTCACTGTGTGGAAGTAGTGGTCTCTCAGCAGAAGTTTGGGTCACTGTGTGGAAGTAGTGGTCTCTCAGCAGAAGTCTGGGTCACTGTGTGAAAGTAGTGGTCTCTCAGCAGAAGTCTGGGTCACTGTGTGGAAGTAGTGGTCTCTCAGCAGACGTCTGGATCACTGTGTGGAAGTAGTGGTCTCGCAGCAGAAGTCTGGGTCACTGTGTGGAAGTAGTGGTCTCGCAGCAGAAGTCTGGGTCACTGTGTGGAAGTAGTGGTCTCGCAGCAGAAGTCTGGGTCACTGTGTGGAAGTAGTGGTCTCTCAGCAGACGTCTGGATCACTGTGTGGAAGTAGTGGTCTCTCAGGAGACGTCTGGGTCACTGTGTGGAAGTAGTGGTCTCTCAGCAGACGTCTGGATCACTGTGTGGAAGTAGTGGTCTCTCAGCAGAAGTCTGGGTCACTGTGTGGAAGTAGTGGTCTTGCAGCAGAAGTCCGGGACACTGTGTGGAAATAGTGGTCTCTCAGCAGAAGTCTGGGTCACTGTGTGAAAGTAGTGGTCTCTCAGCAGAAGTCTGGGTCACTGTGTGGAAATAGTGGTCTCTCAGCAGAAGTCTGGGTCACTGTGTGGAAATAGTGGTCTCTCAGCAGAAGTCTGGGACACTGTGTGGAAGTAGTGGTCTCTCAGCAGAAGTCTTGGTCACTGTGTGGAAGTAGTGTTCTCTGCAGAAGTCTGGGTCGCTGTGTGAAAGTAGTGGTCTCTCAGCAGAAGTCTGGGTCACAGGTTGGAAGTAGTGGTCTCGCAGCAGAAGTCTGGGTCACTGTGTGGAAGTAGTGGTCTCGCAGCAGAAGTCTGGGTCACTGTGTGGAAGTAGTGGTCTCTCAGCAGACGTCTGGATCACTGTGTGGAAGTAGTGGTCTCTCAGCAGACGTCTGGGTCACTGTGTGGAAGTAGTGGTCTCTCAGCAGAAGTCTGGATCACTGTGTGGAAGTAGTGGTCTCTTAGCAGAAGTCTAGGTCACTGTGTGGAAGTAGTGGTCTCACAGCAGAAGTCTGGGTCACTGTGTGGAAGTAGTGGTCTCTCAGCAGAAGTCTGGGTCACTGTGTGGAAGTAGTGGTCTCTCAGCAGAAGTTTGGGTCACTGTGTGGAAGTAGTGGTCTCTCAGCAGAAGTCTGGGTCACTGTGTGAAAGTAGTGGTCTCTCAGCAGAAGTCTGGGTCACTGTGTGGAAGTAGTGGTCTCTCAGCAGACGTCTGGATCACTGTGTGGAAGTAGTGGTCTCGCAGCAGAAGTCTGGGTCACTGTGTGGAAGTAGTGGTCTCGCAGCAGAAGTCTGGGTCACTGTGTGGAAGTAGTGGTCTCGCAGCAGAAGTCTGGGTCACTGTGTGGAAGTAGTGGTCTCTCAGCAGACGTCTGGATCACTGTGTGGAAGTAGTGGTCTCTCAGCAGACGTCTGGGTCACTGTGTGGAAGTAGTGGTCTCTCAGCAGACGTCTGGATCACTGTGTGGAAGTAGTGGTCTCTCAGCAGAAGTCTGGGTCACTGTGTGGAAGTAGTGGTCTTGCAGCAGAAGTCCGGGACACTGTGTGGAAATAGTGGTCTCTCAGCAGAAGTCTGGGTCACTGTGTGAAAGTAGTGGTCTCTCAGCAGAAGTCTGGGTCACTGTGTGGAAATAGTGGTCTCTCAGCAGAAGTCTGGGTCACTGTGTGGAAATAGTGGTCTCTCAGCAGAAGTCTGGGACACTGTGTGGAAGTAGTGGTCTCTCAGCAGAAGTCTTGGTCACTGTGTGGAAGTAGTGTTCTCTGCAGAAGTCTGGGTCGCTGTGTGAAAGTAGTGGTCTCTCAGCAGAAGTCTGGGTCACAGGTTGGAAGTAGTGGTCTCGCAGCAGAAGTCTGGGTCACTGTGTGGAAGTAGTGGTCTCGCAGCAGAAGTCTTGGTCACTGTGTGGAAGTAGTGGTCTCTCAGCAGACGTCTGGATCACTGTGTGGAAGTAGTGGTCTCTCAGCAGACGTCTGGGTCACTGTGTGGAAGTAGTGGTCTCTCAGCAGAAGTCTGGATCACTGTGTGGAAGTAGTGGTCTCTTAGCAGAAGTCTAGGTCACTGTGTGGAAGTAGTGGTCTCACAGCAGAAGTCCGGGACACTGTGTGGAAATAGTGGTCTCTCAGCAGAAGTCTGGGTCACTGTATGAAAGTAGTGGTCTCTCAGCAGAAGTCTGGGTCACTGTGTGAAAGTA